GACCAGCATTTATTGCCCTTCCTCATAGGTTGTTTTGGTACTCATCTATCTCCAGGTTATGCCATGCACTCTTCCTCCTCTTGTTCTCCTAGCTCACAGTAGCATTATTCTTCCACTTGAGTTTATTCTGAAAGTTTTGTACAAAAATGAAGCTGAAATCTCCACCTCCATCTACCAAACAATGGGAGCAGAAGGGGCAGCAGTAGAAACAAAAGAAGTTTGCTATGGAACAAGGGGAAAGCGAGCAGGAAGAAGCACAAACAGAAGCAATATAATTTTGTTAGCCCAGAAAATTGAAACAGGTACAATGTTGATAGATTACATAGGTCTGCCTATTTCCTACAGGAAAAAAATTGTCAATCTGATTTGCTTTAACTGACCTAGATACCTATTCTTTGCTAACTGTTTTTGTTTTATTTCTCGTTGAGTTTTTTTCGCTATTTCCAGTAATTTCTCAATCTGAGATGACTACATTTGACTTGGTTCTGCCTGATTCACTCCTTCAATTTCTTTCTTCAGTAGAATTGCTATCTAATGCAGATGTGAACTGATAATCCATAAAGATGAGCTGGATAATTAAAAAGTATGTCATAAGAAGTATCTCTCACATGTTTGGGGCAGCTCATGGTATATTCAAGAATAGAAGTTCAGTCATGGGAGCAGTTAAGTCAAGCACAGCCTGGCAAAAACATATTGCAAAATTTCCTGGCAAGCTAAGGGCACTCAGGAATTCAGCAGGAGAATAGTTTAGCACCACTGCAGGCTTTCAAACTAAAATTCTACATGAAGAATGTCACTTATTAAAATATTTCTGCCACTGGCCATCTGTATTCGTGAGATTTTCTCAACACTAATTGCTATCTATTTGCCAACCTTTTTTGTTTTGTTTTGTTAATAAAAGTAAATTAATCATTCATTGCATCTGTACAAAGACAGACGAAGGATCGGCACATTAACAGTGCCTCCTCCACCATCTGAGATAGAATAGAAGCATAGAATCACACAATACAGAAGAGTCCCTTTGGTCTATCGAGTTTGTACCAATAAAAAATCTACACTAGTCCAACTTTCTAGCACTTGGCTCGTAAGCTTGAATGATATGACACTGCAAGTCATCCAAGTACTTTTTAAAAGTTGTAAAGTTTCCCATATTATTTGTATCTTTGTAAACATGGTAATGGATGTCATACAAGGGCAAATTGTAGTTTATTTTTGAAAGGTCATAGTTCCAACCCACTTAACACACATTAAATTTTAACGTGAAGTCTATATTTGCACTCAGTTGGTTACAGAGCAATGGAACTTGCCACTGACTTTGAAGAATGCTACTGACAAATGCCTGACCTTTGTGATGGGTTCCCTTGATAATCCTGTGAGTACATAGCCTGCAGGTGCCATTGGTCATGTTGGTGTCGATAGCCCTCAACAGGGGCTCTTGTGGTGCAGTGGTAGTGTCCGTACCTTTGAGCCAAGAGGCCTGGTTTCAAGCCCCACCTGCTCCAGACATGTGTAATAAAATCTCTGAACAGGTTGATTGGAAAATATCAAGCTCTTAGTGGCTGTTGGCCTTTGATTGTTCAGCAGCTCTTAGGGGTCATTATTTCTGCCCAGAGAAGGCCACCTAAGGAGTATTCAATTATGCCAGGCCTCACCACCCCCCTCATAGAATGATGGTGCTGCCCCAAAGATTCTCAAATAATGGATGAGACTCCTTACGAGGCCCATGAAATCCTAACTTGTATTTTTACGGCTCCTTTACTATAGGAAAATTTCACAGGAATGTAATCGGACAGAAATCAACACTAGGCCAAAGGAGGAGATATTGGGATGGGTGGCCAAATCAATGGAAAATCTAGATCTATGAAAGCTGATGGTTTAAAGGAATGACAGGAAAGCAAATGGAGCAGTGTAGTTGTGAGGCAAGTTGGTGCAGCAGAACAAATCAAAGATACATGCAGTAGTAACTGATAGGACTGCACTCATAAGGAAGGAATCCCAGGTATTTCATAGTCTTGTGACATTCAATAGCCAATTAATGAGAACTACTTGTACACAGAATATCCTACTAGAAATAATGGTGAAAGCAGAATCGAAGTCACTTTTCAAAGATGAGTTGATAAATATCTGAAGAAGGACTTATCCTTTAAAAGTTTATTTGATTAATGATATTATTATTGTTAGCATACGTAGTATACACCTATCACGAACAACAATGTTAATGCAGCGGTGCTATTAAAGGCAGATGCAATCAGCAGTGATTCCTTATCTCAGTTCACACGGTAAAATAGCCTTTTATGCAATGATTCTTTTTATTCATATTTTCCTCTTTAACCCCTTAACTGTAATAAACTGTCGGTGAATCATATGTTATATGTGTCATATTGATAGCTTATGGACAGCATTTGCAAACTTAAACTATACTGTATTGTTTTACTGTCATGCATTTCAATTCTTTGATAGTTTGAGGGATGCAAGTTAATAAGATGTCCATCAATTCACTTCTAAAATATAAGTTTGGTGTCCTGGTGAGATTTTCCATTCAACAGTGTAATGTTGAATGTGTTACTGCATGCATGAAGATTAGTGATACGCACCTTGTGTTTACAGGACCTTGCCTTTGGAACAGCCACGCAGATTTTGTTTTTGTGGCTGTAGTCAACAACCCAACAAAGTAGAAAGGCCCACAGACGATGAAGATGATGCCACAACATTAATTACTATGGAATATGTAATAAGGATACTTGAGCAATGACTGCATTGTTCGGTAAAGCCAGCAAAGTGTTGCTTTGTTGTTCATCAAAAGTGTCCAAAGCTGTCTGTATCCATGATATACTGTACAATTTTGAAGAAATTGACAATGCAGCAGGATAAGAAGGAAGCCTATTGCTCCATAGGTGAAGGATGAAAGAGAGGAGGAGAGTAACAAGAATGGGAAAGATACCTCATTAGAGAACTGGAGTGAAACTCTTATGTGGACATTTACTTCTGGTAAGGGACAATTTCTGTCACTGATCAACTCTGAGTTTCCATGTGAACAGACACAGGTTACAGGCCCAAAAACATGATTTCCATTCCCTGAATGCAATCTGTCCTCCCATCTCTCATCCCTTTATCTGCGACTGATTCCATTTCCTTCGTGCTACCCAAAATTCTATCCATACAGAAGAGGAATAAAAAAATCTCTGTTTATTGAGAGCTGTTTTTACCACTTCCCTTTATCACCCCTATTAGGCATCCTCATCTTATTGCTCATTCTAAGAACTCCATCAAAATGCTTCTTCACATGGAAAGAGTAATTGGCTGGTTATGGCTTGGACTTCCGAATGCAAGGTTATGTAATGTCTAGTGACAGAGTGGCTGTTACCAGCTGCCAATCTCTAATGTATTCAGTCCTTTGAGGATACTTTGAGAAAATTCTGCCTAATCAGACTCATCAACTGCTATTCTCCTCGCACTGAATATCCTGGCAAATGGTCTGTGACCTTCACGAGAGCAACCTGTAGGATAATCCTCCAGTATGCTAAATTGAGGGCAAATGTTCTCCAGTAGATAGGTGTTCTCAAAGACATCAGTCGGAAAAGAAATACTGTATCCATTATTAACTTAATGCTTTTGGATTTCACCATAGATGGCCGTGAGTGTGCTTCCACCTCCAGGGTACATCGCAATCGTGTTAAACCTTTCCACTGCACTGTCATGCTGTCAGAGGTGTACTGTTACACTTGTGGTTCTTGTTCCTCATTAATAGTAACATATGATTCATCACAGACTAAATTGTCAGGACAGCTCATAGCTCTGCTAGATTAAAGGAAAGTGCTTAGCTGCTGTAGGTAATTCAAGATCTATAAAACTATCTATTCTCGTGTATTCTACAAAAAATCTATTTGCTTTTTTTTATTCATTCATGTGATGAGGGTGTTGCTGGCTAGGCAGCATTTATTGCCCATCCCTAATTGCTCAGATGGCAGTTAAGAGTCAACCACATTGCTGTGGGTCTGGAGTCACATGTAGGCCAGATCAGGTAAGGATGGCAGTTTCCTTCCCTAAAGGACATTAGTGAACTAGATGGGTTTTTACCAGCAATCAACAATGGATTCATGGTCATCATTAGATTGTTAATTCTAGATATTTATTGAATTCAAATTCCACCACCTGCCATTGCAGGATTTGAACCTGGGTCCCCTGAACATTATCTGGGTCTCTTGATTAACGGTCCAACGATAATACCACTAGGCCATCTCCTCCCCATGAAATATGTGTATTGGCAAGATGATGCTTTCAAAAAGATCATATGTCAAATTATGCATTCTACACCTGCTAACCAACAGTGAGGAAGATTTAGAAAGCGAATGTGGAAGGGAAAACATTTACTGATGATCACACTATCAAATTAACCCTTACCAATATCTTCAAGAGCTTCTCAGCCTAAAACGAGAAAAGCCGCCTCCTTATGTTGCTAAATAAGTAACATTCATCCTCTGCGTATCCTAGTTCTTTGTGGTTATGTGGTACCCTGTCCTAAAATCAAAACTAGTTTAGGAAAATGAGAAAACTACTTGAAAATCCAAATAGGATGTTGTGCCCATACTCCTCCCCAGTGACAGATAGACATCCCATAAGTAGGCAAAGTAGTTTGCCTGTAGCATATTATGACTGTCTGGCAGGCTTCTTTCTGGTTCATTGGCCTGCCACTGATTTTCCATGCAGTTGGAGGGAGGCATGTAGTCCAGCTGCTGTAATTTTCAGTCCCGTGTGTTACAGTCAGGTGAGGAGGGTCAAATGGCTCCCTTTTTCAGTTATCTTCACTTGACCTGAACATATTTCTTTGTTTAGGAAAGGACATACTTGCCAATTTAGTGATTTCTTAATTGTTTATATGCTGTGAACATCAAAGAACCAATCAGACAGGTTTTTTTTGCACTTAACAATAAAAAGTCATTGGCTTTATTAAACTTAAACTGATTTTAGTTAGTTAATAAAATACACATGGACTTTTGTACACGCATGCAAACATACTCATAAAGCTTAGAAAAACACAATGCAGATTACAGAGTTGAAGGATATGTTGCTCAAACTGGAGTTCATAAAAACTAAAAGGAATATGCTGTCAGTAGTTTAGTGATTTGGCTGGCTTCATCATGAATTTGATGGTCTAAGGACTTGTCTATGGTAATACCGATGTGCTCAATTTAAAGATGCAGGTGACTGCTTTGGTTGTTCTTCTGGAGACAGTAAAGCTTGGCTGAATTTTTTGAAGAAAACAGGGGTGTCCCTGGATGGTCACAATCAGCAGACAGTGTTTGAAACTTCGAAGGCAGTTTTGCAGCGAGAAGGATAAAGGAGGGATGTTGCTCAGTTTTCTCTCTCTTTGTCTCAGTTGCTTATGTTCATCTCTGCAGGGAAAACAGAAAAGAAGAGTTGGTTCATCATGTAATTTTTTTCTTCCAACTGCCCAGGGAATCCAATAAGGCAATTTCCAGTGTATTGCAAGACAAATTTGGTAAGATCATATCTGAGAGGCTCACTTAATTAGGGTGTAAGTGAATACGTCAGATGATTGCCTTCGTGCCTTGCTAATGGCTATTGGAGACGTGAGTCCTTCATGTGTTTCTGAGGCTATTGTTTTTGATGGGTGTTGCAGACATGCTGTTACCATTCCCATGGAGTGTATCATGATGTAAATGGGGTGGCCATCTTAGGCTACGAGCTTAAGTCATCTTTAGTTTCTGTGTTTTAAAAAGTCTCTGCTTTTAAAAGTTAAATTCAGGTTCCCAACTGATGACTTAAAAATCATTATTTTACATAAAACATATTTTCATGTTGCATGCTACAGCTGCACAAAGTTAGACCACACCTATTGCACTGTGAGTAGTTTTGGGCACCGCACCTTAGAAATTTGCTTAGGAAGAAGTACAATATGTTATGCCTCACTGGAGTAGCAAGTTAGAAATTAAACCCTGCTATTACTGGAGTCATCACAATAGTTAAAGATTTTAAAAGGTACACAGATTTCCCCAACTTACCTGTCTTTTAGACCCAGGTTGAAAGAACGCACAAACCAGGTTTCTGTGCTGAACAAGAATGACTATTTATCACTAACAAATAGACTCAAGATACAGGTAAGCAGTTATGAATTATTGACATATATAAACTCTACTAGTTACAACTCTAACTGCCTTATAAACTCACCCCTACACACATACAAACAGGGAACATATGGATGTAATGTATGGGGGAAATGACTGGGAAGGTAATTCAATGGTTCATGTTCACGGAGTTCACTGAGATGATCCTTTTGTTTAGTCAGATCCTGTTGCTTCCTGATTGTCTCTCCCTAGTTACTTTCACTAGCTTGCAGAAGATACAGTGTTGCTGGTTCATACTTGGTTCACTGAAGTCTCTGGCTTACAGCTTACAGCAACTGCTAAGGGAAAAATAACCTGGCTTTCTTCAAGCTGCAGAAAAAAGCAGCAATTCCTGCCCTTGCAGAGATTTGATGGCTTCTCCCTCAAATATTCACCCACTTAAAAAGTGTAGCAACCCTTCAACAAGAGATAGCAAGAACTGCCGATGCTGGAGTCAGAGATAACCCAGTGTGGAGCTGGAGGAGCACAGCAGGCCAGGCAGCATCAGAGGAGCAGGAAAGTTGACGTTTCGGGTCGGGACCCTTCTTCAGTTTTTCCTGCTCCTCTGATACTGCCTGGCCTACTGTGTTCATCCAGCTCTACACCTTGTTATATCAGGTATTTTCCTCAAACGCCTTCTGAATCTGGGATCTGTAACTCCCTATGAGGAGGGATTCTATTGAACATATTGAAAGGTAGGAATATAAGACAGCAGCATATGGGTAACTGAGAGTTTATCATGTTATTCTGCTTCACTTTATTTTTCACCCTTTATTAACTGTTAGTATTCCTATCATCTTCACACATGCACAGTATGGGTTGACAACAAAATCGTTGTACCTATTAAATGCTGCTTGAAGTATTAATTTTGCAAGTTGTGGAAACTGCTTTGTAACAATTGGTGCTTAATTGGTCATTGACACAAGGAAGGATCTGTTAAACTGACATTTTCCTAACTGCCATCTGTTCTGAGGAAGGGTCTCTGGACCTGAAATATTAACTCTGATTTCACAGACACAGTCACACCTGCTGAGCTTTTCCAGCAATTTCTGTTTTTGTTTCTGTTGATGATGACTTATTTGTCAAAGGACTAATAAACTCCAGGTGTGAAATTTTAGACAAATCTCTCCTAAGCTAGTAGCACACATGTCTTTTTTTTTTGCAGATAGAACTCTGTATATTCTCTATATTCTAAGTCCACTGCAATTTACTTGGGTTGCTGATCTGCCTGATGCTCCTCCTCCACTAGGACCTTTTCCCATCATGGTGTAGGAGGCAGGACACATCTAATACCTATTGCGGGGTTCCTTAGTTATGAAGTCAGAAAACCAGTCAGTTTTCTCATCTAGGTATTGGAAGAGGTGGGATCTGACTTGTCCAATATTACTATCAGCTGGAATCATAACACCATCGAGTTACACCTATCCAGAAAGTGCTGTACTGAAATGTAAGCTATTTGACTTCCATTCATGCTATGTTAAGGTACTTAAACTGTTTATCATACATGCCCAGGAGGCAGCATGGATCCCTTTTCATTCCAACCCTCACCTGGAAGTGTTCTTTTATTTACAGATTAGTTTGAAGCCATTCCATTGAAAACTTCACATGGAACATAATTGTTTGGTGCTTTCATCTATCATCACACTTATTAAGGAATGCACAGTGGGTTTTACTGTATGTCATGAGAACCAAAGGTACTTCTCAACAAGAATTCAGGCCTTAACAACAAAGAGAGAGAGAATAGCAACAAATTACTGACCTGCAACCCTTTGCTTTCTGACTTCCAATGGAAAAGGAGAGATCTGCAAAACCAGGAAGGAGTTAGAACCAGAACAGTAGGAAGACAGGTTCAGTTTATAAGTTCATTTGGCTTCCCTTCATTTTTATTTTAATGTATCCACATTAACTGTTAGTAAACTATACCATGTAGCCCCTTTGTCACTCATTGAACTGAAAGCATCTAAACGCTGTAACATATTCTATCCTCCTTACCCTTTTATTCCTTTGCTATGTAAGTATGGAGATGAAAAAGGAGATACATTGTAGGCCTCTGCTATCAAGTTATAGCAGTTACTGTCACTCATTCTATTATTTTTAAGCACCAATATGGAAACATCCATCCTTGTACTAATTGCAGCAAGATCTGGAAAACAGTGAATTGTGCATCTGGCCACAGGCAAATCATGAGTGAACTGCAGCATTTGATAGAATGTGAAGAAGAAGTGTTGACCATGAGGCTAAAGGATATCTTCTTTCAGCTAAAGGGTGTGGGATTCAGTTTATATGATTCTACTTTGAAATGCTTTCTTCAGATTGCCATACTTGTGGGCTTGTGTACTCTTCATGTGTAGATCAAATCAAATCACACATCATTCAGCAAATTACCATAATCCTAAAGACTCTGCATGGATTTCTGAAGGATCACCAGATCAATCCACATGCATTGAGTTGTGAATTCACATGTCTACAGAGTACTTCATGATACTGAGTGAATCAGATGGGTAATTGATGGAAGCATCCATCCATTTTTGACCTATTGAGAGAATCACATTAAGCCAGGAGCGCAGTGTAGCTTCAGTTTTAGAATGATTTACAGATGTTGTCTTCCGTGGCTTTAGAGAATAACATTAATCTCCAAGGGGCCATCTAGAAACTTGACTTTCTGTCATAAACAATGATGACATGATGGACTGTCTTGAGATGAAGGCATTGCCAAGAAATAGGGAAGTCTTCGAATGGTAGTGTGCCTTTGGTTGCGAATATGCAGCACATTCTTTTCTCCATTCCTGTTGACAAATTGATGCGGGAACATGTTTGACCATATGTATTCAATTTGTGACTCCATAGAATTTGGGAAATCCTGTCATGAGTAAAACTGCAGTGTTCTGGCATGCAGGCACCAGTTCTGCTTGGGGAACCTAATGAAATGCTGGCTCGAAAGAACAATGCATCCTTAATTTGCTTGATACGTCTGTGAACAGATGTTTGGCTTATACTAAAGAAGTCATCTGGAATGCCCTGAACTAAAAAAAAAATAGTTTTGATGTGAACAGTTGTAGCAAATCAGTGCCTGAGGTAGAATTGGGCAGGAAGTCCATCGTTGCATGTGGCACCTTTATATAACCACATTCTTTTATAAACTGAAGACTCTCCAGATACTGCAGTTTTAAGGAGGCACACCTTCACCTGCCTTTCTAGACCCTCGAAAGTTTTGGCAAAGCTTGGGTTCTGGGTGAGGTTGTTGACTTGCTCACCAAGCTGGCTCATTTTCGTTCAGACATTTTGTCACCATGCTAGGTGACATAATCAGTGGAGGCTCCACCTTTCTAGACCCTCACCCATTCTGCATCCATTTTCTTTTAGTCTGTTTTGTTTGGTGGCTGGCCAAAGCTTTTGCCAACATTTGGATGCCACATGTCTTTGGTGTGTCATCACCAGTTCTCCCTCAATTTGTTTTCCTTCCCTTCTTCCAATAAGTATAGAATAAGAAATACCCAGTGAGTATGGGATTGTGTCCAACCTGCAAAGGAGGAGCATGGGTGAATGGCTGCCCCAGAGCTAACATGACATAAGATAGTGGCAATGATTCAAAATCCTGGAATGCTCTCTTCAACAGCTTTGTGGGTGTATTTACATAAAAATGGACTGCAACAGTTCAAGAACACTGTTCAATACCACTTTCTCAAGGACAACTCTGGATAGGCAATAAATGTGGCTGGTAATGCCCACATTCCATGCGTGAATATAAGAATTGTGGAAAAACTTTAAAAAAGTATTCTATAACTTCCATTTTAAAATCCTGCTATTATTAAAACCTCTATAAAAGTGTCGATCAATGAATTTTAAAATATCAATAGCAGGAAATACAAGCAGTTGGCACTGCTTTTTCTATTTTTTCAACTCAACATTGAGCTGTTGACAAAAGAAATGCAAGAACAAAAACATCAATTAGGCAGTGGGAACTGCAGATGCTGGAGAATCCGAGACAACAAGGTGCAGGGCTGGATGAACACAGCAGGCCAAGCAGCATCATAGGAGCAGAGAGGCTGACGTTTCGGGCCTAGACCCTTCATCAGAAAAGGGGGAGGGGAAGGGGGTTTTGAAATAAATAGGGAGAGAGTGGGAGGCGGATAGGAGAGGGATAGAGGAGAGGATAGGTGGAGAGGAAACAAACAGGTCGAAGAGGCGGGGATGGGGCCAGGAAAGGTGAGTGTAGGTAGGGAGTTAGGAAGGGGATAGGTCAGTCCAGGGAGGACGGACAGGTCAAGAGGGCGGGATGAGGTTGGTCGGTAGGAGATGGAGGTGCGGCTTGAGGTGGGAGGAGGGGATAGGTGGGAGGAAGAACAGGTTAGGGAGGCAGGGACGAGTTGGACTGGTTTTGGGATGCGGTGGGGGGAGGGGAGATTTTGAAACTTGTGAAATCCACATTGATACCATTGGGCTGCAGGGTTCCCAAGCGGAATATGAGTTGCTGTTCCTGCAACCTTCGGGTGGTATCGTTGTGGCACTGCAGGAGGCCCAGGATGGACATGTCGTCTGAGGAATTTGAGGGGGAGTTGAAATGGTTCGCGACTGGGAGGTGCAGTTGTTTGTTGCGAACCGAGCGTAAGTGTTCTGCAAAGCGGTCCCCGAGTCTCCGCTTGGTTTCCCCGATGTAGAGCAAGCCACACCGGGTACAGCGGATGCAGTATACCACATTGGCAGATGTGCAGGTGAACATCTGCTTGATGTGGAAAGTCTTCTTGGGGCCTGGGATGGGGGTGAGGGAGGAGGTATGGGGGCAGGTGTAGCACTTCCTGCGGTTGCAGGGAAAAGTGCCGGGTGTGGTGGAGCTGGAGGGGAGTGTGGAGCGGACAAGGGAGTCACGGAGAGAGTTGTCCCTCCGGAAAGCAGATAAGGGTGGGGAGGGAAAGATGTCTTTGGTGGTGGGGTCGGATTGCAGATGGCGGAAGTGTCGGAGGATGATGCGTTGGATCCGGAGGTTGGTGGGGTGGTACGTGAGGACGAGGGGGATTCTTTTTTGGTTTTTATTGCGTGGACTGGGTGTGAGGGATGAGGTGCGGGAGATGTGGGAGACACGGTTGAGGGCGTTCTCGACCACCGAGGAGGGGAAGTTACGGTCCTTGAAAAACGAGGACAACTGAGATGTACGGGAGTGGAATGCCTCATCCTGGGAGCAGATGCGGCGGAGGCGAAGGAATTGGGAATAGGGGATAGCATTTTTGCAGGAAGGTGGGTGGGAGGAGGAGTATTCTGGGTAGCTGTGGGAGTCGGTGGGCTTGAAATGAATATCGGTTTCGAGGTGGTTGCCCGATATGGAGACAGAGAGGTCCAGGAAGGGGAGAGAGGTGTTAGAGATGGTCCAGGTAAATTTAAGGTTGGGGTGGAAGGTGTTAGTGAAGTGTATGAACTGTTCGAGCTCCTCGTGGGAGCGCGAGGCAATGCTTTTCCTTGTGTGCACTGGTTTCAATAGACTGATGGATGCCTGTGTTCTCCAACCAAATACTGCCCTAAAGCTTTACCTTACATCAATCTTTAACAATGAAGAAGATTCTACAAAAGTTGGAGTGAGATAGGAAATAGTTTAAACTCTGTATAAGCTAAAAGCTGATAAAGAAGAAAGTATCAGAAAGGCTGACTGTACTTATAAGTTGATATATCCAAAGATGCCTGAGGAATAAGGTTATATTTAATTGTGCAGGCACTGGCAATAATCTTGCAATCTTCTTTAAATATAGGAGAAGTATAAGAAGTCTGAAGAATTACAAATATTATACCTTGGAAAAAAAAAGGTTCAATCCAGCATCTTAAGACCAATCAGTTTAAATTTCGTGGTAGGAAAGCTTTTAGAAACAAAAAATCAAGTTGTGTTTAATTAATTTGATGTTTTTCAATAGAGTAACAGAGAGGGAGCTGAGAAATTGATGTAGTGCCATATAACAGGCTTGTCAGAAAAAGGTGGAGCCAATGAAATAAAAGGAACAGTTACGGCATGGAATTTAACTGAACTGGGTGACAGGAAAAAGAATGTGTTGGTAAATGGTTGTTTTTTTTTCAGACTGGAGCAGGATATATGGTTGAATTCATCTGGGATCAGTGCTAGGACCCCTACTTTTCAAAATATATATTAATGGCCCGGATTTGGGAGCACAAGGCACAATTTCAGAATTTGCAAATGACACAAAACGTGGAAGTATTGTGAATCATGAGGAGCTTAGTAAAATCTTCAAGAGAACATAGACAGGCTTGTAGAATTGGCAGGCATGAGACAGGTGAAATTTAGTACAGAGTAATGATAGATTTCAGCAAGTGAAAATGAGAAGAAGCAATCTAAAGGATGTCTAAGAGCACAGACTAGGGGGTGTTTCTGCTTAAAATGTTGAAGGTGACAAATCAGGTTAAGAAAATAGTCAAAAAGGCATACCACATCCTGGGTTTTATAACTAAAGGTATAGATTTTAGCACAAATTTTAATAAAACTGATTCAGATTCACTTGGAGAATCATGTCATTTCTGTGCCCTACACATTGAGAAGGATTCAAAAACTTTAGGGAGGGTACAAGAAAGATCTGCAAGAATGGTTCCAGGAATGAGAGACTCCAGTTATGCAGATAGATTGGCAGAGCTGGGAGTGTTCTCTCAAAAATGGAAACATTGAGAGCAGATTTGTAAAGATGATCAAAATCTCATGTGATCTTGACAGAGTAGACAGAGAAAAACTGTTCCCATTTGTGGAAGAGTTGAGAACAAGAGGGTACCAATTTAAAGTTATTGGCAAAAGAACCCAAGATATGAAGATTAT